AAATGCCATCAAATGTTTGCCATGCTTCACCATCTGATGGATGTACCATCTTATCAGGATTGTATCGGATGTCATTTTTGTGCCATGTCATTTGTTTCGTAGACTCCTCGCTCATGAATAGCCGTTGGAGTCTCGGTATGAACGGAAGGTACCGTAGGACTTTCATGGGGATTCCAAGCTGCTTCTTCTGCCCATCACTAGATTCTACCTCCACATACCTAGAGGACTTACACTTTGGACAGTACTTTGCTTCCGCGTGTTCTTTCCTAAAGAGGACGCACCCATTCTCACAAGTGTGTATCTACTCATACGGCATCTTAAGAGCTTTGAGGAGCTTCACTGACTCATACATGTTCTTCGGCAGCGCGTGATCTGCCGGAAGTAGGGTCCCAAAAACTGCCAGCATACTATCGAAGCAGTCTCGACTCATGTTATGCATGGACTTTAACCCCATTAAGCGTCCAATGGCATCGAGTTGAGAAACATTTGTCTTGTCATGAAGGGGCCTCTTAGCCGACTCCATCATGCGATAGAATGCCCTTGCGGTTTCCTCTGCTCCCCCGCTCCTCGGTTTCGTCCATTACATCGTTCACCGAAGTGTGCTTGGTGGAAGTCATCCATCATGTCCGGTACCCCGCCATCACTATCAAACTCCTCCAAGTGTGGCCTCAATGCCTCATCTCTAATACGATGGCCTTCACCATGGCACACCCACCGGTATAGTCCGCGCGAAACCCAAACTTGCAAAGATGTTCCTCAATGACCTTCCCGGTTTTCCTATTCCTGTTTGCACATTCATTGCGGGACACCACACCTCCTCACACCGCTTGAGCACCCACACCAAATGCTTTGTCCAAGAAATCCTCGGTCTTCTATATCCATTCACGAGTGACCTGATTACGACTACTGGCAGCCCGTGTACATCCAATCACGGTTATCCATCATCTACCATATATATAACATAGTAATATAACCATCAATAGCATATGCACGCTTTTGCCTACTATCTAATAGGTAGGGATAGGTCCTAATCCCACCACGGATGCGTAGATGAGGTTAGTTTCCATGCTCCGCTCCAATCCGAGATAGAATTTCGGCAGCACATCCCCGCTGTTCTCTCGATACACGTCCTGGAAGGGAGAGTGTGTATCCGAAGAACAACAGGGAGGTGCTGCCGAAACCCCATCTCGGACCGGACCGGACCATACAAACTAAACCATCTACACATCCACGGGCTGTCCAAATAACGTGGACAATCCAAAACAGATATGGTCGCAGATATGCAGAGATCCGCATACCTACGACCGTATCTCTTTCGGACGGGAGACGCCTAACTGGTTTACGCGATCTAGCTAGGGTTACGGACAAAGGGCTTATACCTAGGGTGGCGGTGGAGTGGAGAGGTGACGCGGTGCAGGCAGACCCGAAGGAAGACGCTCGGGGTACTCCGGGTCCCCTCCGTCGGGCTCTTCTCTGCAAAACAAGAAACACAATTTATAAGTTCAAAATTTCGGCAGAACCTCCCCTGTACGGGGAGGCTTCCAAAACCTACAAGGAAAAAGATGGCACGATGGCCAACATCCCCAATTTCGGCACGATGGCCGACACAGCGACATATGGCACGATGGCCAACACATCCACAAAAGGCACGAAGGCCCACTAATCCAGAAATGGCACGAAGGCCAGCAATAGGCGGGAGGGGGGCCTTACCTTGGGTGGCAGTGTAGTCGGGCGACGCGGAGTCGGGATCACCCTCGTCTTCGGCTAGACGCGTGGAAAACGGCGACGACCGCTCGGCGTGACGCGACGACGCGGGGGTGTGATGGTCGTTGGCCTCTCCTTCTCCCTTCCTCTTCTCCCCTGCTCTCCTTCTCCTCTCCCTCTCCTTCTCCTCCTCTTCTCCCCTCCTCCTCCCTTCTCCCCTGCTCCTCTTCTTCTCCCCTTCTCCTTCTCCTCTCTTCTCCATTCCTCCTCCAAATCCTCTCTGCCTTGACTGTGGTAGGCGGCCGGGCTGGGGGCGGCCGGGGGGCGGAGTGGGGCCACCGCATGGGCGTGGCCGAGGGCGGCAGTGCCCGACCACCGGGCGAGGCGGGGATTTACGCGCCCCGACGACGACGGGCGGCAGGCTGGCAGACTGGGCTCTGCTGGCCTGTGGGGACGGGCGGGCGGGGAGAGGCTATGCCATGGGGGGGGACGGCGGCGGCGCAGAGGAAGGAAGGCGATGCGGGGCGCGGGGGCAAGAGGAAGGGCTGAGTGGGCCGTTAGGGTTTTCCGGCCTGGTCTATGTGGACTGGGCCTTTGCCGAGGGCCCAGATCCGGGCTCTCGGCAAAGTTTTTTTTTTAAAAAAACTCTTTGTCGAGAGCCCTTTGAGGCTCTTGGCAAATACAAAAAAAAATTGTTTTTTTTCCCAAATTTTTTCTGGTGGCTAACAATAATATTTAAAAGACATATTTAAAATTTGGAGCTTTTTTTATTTTATTAGCTATATTTAATAAGTTTATTTCATTTACTTGAATTCTTCCCGGTAATTCAAATTTGAACTGCAGCTACATCGAATATTGGAATTGAGTGATTCAAGAAATCATATTCATGGTATTGCATGTGGTGTGAGACCGTATCCAGTGACAGATGCCAAATTTGGCGCATCGTTTTGACGGAACACGGCGAGGAACTTGCGTGTAAAGTATTTTTAAATTATATAAAATGGAAACGAAGTCCGAAATTCATGAAACTTGTCGAGGTGTCATTTCATCACATGTATAGGCTGTGATAAAAAAATGAGTGGGTTTCGAGCAAGTTGCGACGTCCGATGCCTAAAATCCAGAAAAAATTTGGAAGCAAAAAAAAGCAAAAAAAAAATATTTTGCCGAGGGCACAGAAACGACACTCGGCAAAGTAATTCTTTGCCAAGGGCCAAATTCTGACCCTCGGCAAAACAGACGGCAGGTGAAGGCCGTTTGCCTGCCGTCACAGGTTTACCGACGGCCATGTTTTGCCGAGAACCGGACCTCGGCAAAGATAAACTTTTGCCAACGGCCTTTCTTTGCCGACGGCCGGACCCTCGGCAAAGGGCCCGCTTACCGTTGCCGAGGGCCGACTCTCGGCAAACCTTTCTTTGCCGAGAGCCCGACATTTGGCTCTCGGCAAAGGCTCTTGGCAACGGGCCTGTTTCCGGTAGTGTAGATCTTTAAACTTATTGACCATGTCACATGAGATCCAAATTACCACAATTTGAGTTAATCTGCATGTGTGGCACGTTGATTACACGACAGTGTGACACTAACATGTGGGGCCCACATGCCTACAGGTGAGAAGGATGAGGCTATCATGTAGGCCCAATATTTTGGTACCATACCATTGAGCAGAAGAAGAATAAGCTCTATGTGTACTATGTGCCTCTTGTTGGTGAGAACCTCCTCGAGTCTTTTGGCAAGCCCGTTGTCGTCCAGGCCGTCAATTGCACCCAGTGCAGCCTCTTCCTTGATGCCCCTGTCGTCAGCCGTTTTGGGCTTCACGACCTGCCGAAGAAGGTCGTTGAGCAACGCCTTGAGGTCTCCGCTCGGCTCGAACGCCTGGGACACGGACACCATCGCCTGCCACGGGAACTCCGCTTCCAGCCGCCGGCACACCTCCACGGCCAGCGTCGTCTTGCCGAGGCCTCCGAACCCCACGATGGAGAAGACGTCCATGCGCGCGGCGGACACTTCGCCAACGGGCGCGTTCAGCCGTGCAGCCAGGGCGTTAGCCTGATCCTCGATGCCGACCAGCCGGCGGTGGTCGTCGGCGTTGCTAGCAGGAGTGGACGATGACGCCGCCGATACAGGGACCCCAGGTAGCAGAGGAGCGAACCGCCGCAGCGCGTCCCGGTTGATGCCGAACCGCGCCTGGCGCTCGCTGATGGCGACGGCGCGGGCGCGGAGGGCGCCGATCTCGCATGCGAGGCGGCGGCGAGACCGGAGCGTCCCGAGAAGGCGTCCCAGCCAGGCGCGCACGCCGTCAGTGCGGCGGGACTCGATGCGCAGGGTGTAGAGGTCGATGCAGTCCTTGGCGTCGCAGGCGACCTCGCGCAGCTGCTTCATGCACACCTGCAGGAAGCGGTCCACGGCGCCGTCGTCCGCCTCGGACGGCGCCGTCGTCCGCCTCGGACTGCATGACGAGGAGCGCGTTCATGGCGTCCAGTTCGTCCCGCAGCTCGGCTACCTGGCCGCCGACGCCGCGGAGGTGCTGGTACTCCTTGCTCAGCAGGCGCCCGGCGTTGCTCAGAAAGGCCTGTGCCGCTGCCGCGCCCTCCATGACGCCGCTCGGAAAGAACCAGCCAGAGAGATAGGGTGGCTGTGGTTGGGCCGCGGAGATTTTTCAGACAAGACAACCGGTGGACTACCAAAGTCAAGACTGCGGGCCCGACCTTGACACCAAATTCATGTTGCTAGACTTTTTTGGCCAGCGGGACCTTGATGTGTTGAAAATGATTTATACAACTGTGCTATTTTTTTAGTTTCTAGACAAATTGAGTTATTTTGTGTTTGAATTACAACTATTTTTTTTTATCATGATAGCATTTCTTTGTAGAATAATAGGTTTTCCCTGCTTTATTTTTTAGCCAATTGATTTTAGCAGGAGGCTGTTTGGATGCACTGCTAATATGTGCTTGTACAATAAGTTGAAGGTATATATGAACTATTAGGTGCTGTCACTCATTTTGTAGCGTCATCTGTTCACACCGCCAACAGATCACGTAAGTTATTGTTTGTTGCAAGTACTATGTAATCCAATGCCTCCGGAATAAATACGGCCCTTCAAAATGCCGATTAAGCCCACGATCGGGCAGTAAACGCTCGCAGCAGCGCGGAAACAAAATTGCCTTTCCATTGCCTGACATGATTTTGAGGGATGAATAATGATTAGTGGCAAAAACAGTGTGTGAGAAAGGGAGAGAATGAGACCTGCTGCATTTCTTCATCTGGATCACTCATTGGTTTAGCCCATGCAACTGTTATATTTAGACACCTTTCCTTGAAAGCTTTATGTATGCCATCCATGTATCTCTTTCAGTCTCAAGTTCAAGAAATGCATACCCACAGTTATAGCCTGGGTTGTCACAGTCAGCCATGAGTGTTACTGTATCAATGTTCTCAACTCCACTTTTGTGTAGTAGCTTCATGATCTGCTTTGAAGAGAATTAGGTGATATCAGCAAACAGACAACAATGGAGCCAAATATCCAAGCAGGTTATTCACAGAAATACAGAATAAAGAAAATGATAGGTAGGGGTGCAATTGTACTCACATCTTCTTTCTTCCATTTCTTGTCAATATTTTCAAGAACAATTTTATCATTCCCATCCAGGGCTTCAACTTGACAAAGCTTCCAACAGATCTTGTAATGGAGTTTCAAATAACAGTATAATAAATTAATAATCAATATGGAGAAAGAGGAGGGGAACAAAATGTGGAGGCAGTGAAACATAAGCCACACATTCGACTTAGCCAATACATATAACTATAGCCAAAGGTCACGAATTATGAACCCACAATTTTTTTCCCTGTACTACAAAAACTAGGTCAACAAGATACTACACCATAAATTCCAACATAGTAACATTGATACACAGCATTTAGGAACATTCATTTTCCGGTACTAATGTTATATTGATTTATGATGTTTCATTTTGTCTATAGCACATAAACTATGTATGGTCCAGAAAGTAGAATTTTTCATCCATATCTACCTATCCTACATTTTATTTTCTACAGAAAACAAGCTTTAGGTTACAACTTACAACCAAATGCACAATGTTCAATTGTAGAATGATCATATGTTCAGAAATTAATATATAATGAAACTTAACAGTACAGCAATGGCATGACACAAGCATGTAATTTGGCACTAATATGATTCCTGTAAATGGTAACGAATAATTGGAACCATACCAGGCATCCAAGCATGGCAACCAATCTAATAGAAGCTTAGATGTAATCAACAATAAGCGTACATTCTAATTCTAAGTTTTTAAAGGCGTTTTGTTTAAAAAAAACATTGTCTGAGTCAGGCAAAATGAACAAGGCGATGGATAAAGATGTAATCAGAGAAATCAAATAAAGGCAAAAGCTTCTGCTACAAGAGGTGTGTCAATCAAACCAAGGTCAAGTTGGGGTAATTAGCAATGTTGGCACATCAACTTAACTCAATAAAATCAAAAGAATAGATTTTCTAGCACCATTTGGCACAAATATGTAGCCAGCTGGAAATTTGAGTTCAAGCATGAGAAGCTGACTTTGAATTCATCCAAGTGAGTCGAAACAACCTTCAATTTGCCGAACTCCGCAACAAGCTTCTTAGCCAGTGGCAGATCCAGTGGGTGGTCTGGGTGGTCCACCGACCACCCTGTGCCCTGCCCGTCAGTCAAACATAATAGAAAAAATGAAAAAAAACAAGCCGTCGTGTTCATAGTACGTGAGTCGGCGTCCGTTCGACGTTCGTAGTACGTGAGTGCGGCGTAAATGCGCGCTCGTGCTCGTTGGGCCGGCCCAGCTCGCAGGGGGAGTTGGATTGGCAGACGTCGAACTGTCCAGGGAGGTCGGGACTTGGGAGGGAGTCAGATCGCCAGACTCCGCTCGCGGCCGCGGAGTGTTCTCGCCGCGAGCCTGCCGCGGGCGCCGCCATCGCCCTTCGGCCTTCGCGGATCGGCATTGCGGCACCAGGCAGCCGATCGGCGATCAGGTAACAGGTGATCCTCGTTCCTCAGTCTGATCGCTATGAAATCTGAATAAAACATAAACACAGGGGAATGATGGACACACTAGTTGTATCATTTTCCACACAAAAATAAAAGTATTACCAATGGGCTTCCCTGTGTCATTTGCTTAAAAAAGGGTGAGCACAAAGAATTCATGATGGAACAGCATACCTGAATCCCACCCCATGGTTCTTCTGATAGTACAGAATCTGAATCTGAAAGCAAAAATATCACATCATACATGTTATACCAGATGACGGAGAGACGGATTAACGTGAGATGGGCTGCAAGGACATACCTAGTCGATATCTCCTGCTTTCATGATGATATGGAGGAGAATACTCGGTGATGGCAGGGGGGGATGCACTGTAGCTGAGATGTGATACAGATTGAAAGAAAACTATTACTCTATGCTAAGATATGCGATGAAGAGTTGTGATCGCTTAGAAATTGAGATAACCTTGAAGTTGACGTAGCATAGGTATTCCTCTCATGTCCTACGTGAGGGTTGCGGCCCATGTAATAAGAATCAATCCCCAGTAGTAAGCAAGATTAAAACAAATACGACAAAATCAATGAGTAAATGTTTCATGCCTATATGGTATAAGAAAGGCCGATTCTCTCCTGACAATACGTGGGGATAATTTTGAGTAAGCCTTCCTGCTACTTATAGGGATGAAAACATCAGCAATTGGTATTTTAAAGTTGATAGCTTCAAAATAGTGGTCATAAAGCATCAAATATCTACTGAATGCTAGAAAGCTCTATATGTTCAATGTTGCATGCATCTTGTATGTCATAGATGTACATAGCAAAAGTTGTATACAAGAGCAAATGCCAAAAGAAGAGGTGCAGCCAAGATTAGTTTTTAGCTAAAACATGGAACCCTCCAATATTACTATTTGCAATCATTTGCATATTAGCAAACAGATCAGGGCTTCAAAATTAAACCAGAAAATTAACTTGGTCAAAGAAAAATGAAACATAAATCCTAATATGACATCAGAAAACCAGTTTGTTTGTTGAGTAACATTATTAAAAATAACAAATAAGAAAAAGTCATCCAACAATACCACCTTGTGCATTTTTAAAAATAAATGTAACATGCAAGTTATTGAGTCCATTTAAATGAATAGTTATCAACTTTATATATCCTTAGTCGAAGGTTTTGTTTCATCTAGGGGGTGAACAATGTTTATCCCTTGATGAAAGCTTTCCAAGGTAGAGATAAAATAAGTCACTGGTCTTATTAAAATACTAATACGAGACTGCAAATTAACCTGATGCAGAATTTTACAGTGTTCAACTGGCCACATGAAACTAACCTGAACCAGTATGTTCATGTCTCCAGGGAACCATCTCCCTCAGAACCTGAACCAAGCCATGATCTGTTGATGACTTCTTATCCCCTGTGGGTGGAATCGCCCTGGAACTGGAAGGCAATATATGCAGTGAAGACGGCCCAAGTATTCTTTCACCTAGTGAAATCGATGAAATGGTTGAGAGAAATTGAGAAAAACACTTAACTGTTCATGAGCAAAATAACTTTCAAAAATAGACTGAATTTATCTTATTAAGGCGTGCCACTGCCACCCTTAGCTCATTACAATCTATCTAAAAATGAAAAAGAGGATAACAGGCAATATATGTAGATATATAACTCTGCATGACACCTGCAAATTCAGATCATTGGATTACTACAGAAACTAGCTAACCCGATACCAGACATTGTGACCAAGAACAGCAAGAAGACAGCAGTTATATACTTATACATAAGGTATACTATGTTTACAATATTTTGTACACAGGGAAACAGTAGTTAACAGAGTGAGATTGGCAACCATAAGTTAGGCACATAATCGGAAATGAACTAGAAAGAGGACGATGGGGATTCGAAAGGAATTAACTCACTTTGAGCAGTCTTTGTTTTATCTTTCTCACTAATACAAAATTTATGATCTTCCATAATCTTCTTGCCCTTTTGGATAGATTGAGCAAGAGTGACTCTAATATTAACCTGGCATGAAACACTAAAAATGTGAGAATCATGTTAAAAAAAACCCTCCAACTTAGACTAAGGTATTACAAAGGACCTTTCAACTATTTCCCATCAAAATGATTCAAGACACAAGATAGCAGCCTCATGAGTAGTGTAATTAATGAATGCAATGTCATTCCTTTTAGCTGGATGCATATCACATGATTGAGCTACAAGTTCGATGTTTCCATATTTCTTGAAAATATCTGTCATCTTAGCTTGATCCCAAGAATTCAATACACCTTCCACAAAGACTGCTTACACCTAAATGTTACTTACAACTCTTTGGGAATTTGTGACTAGCCACTGAAAGCACAGCCAACTATGATGTTCAACTGTGACAGGGCCAGTGAAAAAGGACTGAACCATTGATATACACACATACAGCAGTCTAAAGTACTTCCAAAATCAAATTGTTACAGGTGCAAAATGTCATAGCCTAATGTACTTCTAAAGTCAGAATCGTACCTGGTATACAAAGTTTCCAGTCTTATTTGACCCAATACACCACAAATGTGTTAATGTCTTCAGGAAATGGATACCAAAAAAAGTTACAGATCACAAACAGCCTATGTATGTGTGCGTCCATGAATGTGCGTTGTTCTGCGCGTGCGTGTGGCATGTGCGTCCATGAATGTGTGTGCGCGTGTGTGTCGTCATGTGTGTCATGTCTCATGTGTGTGTGTGTGTGTGTGTGTGTGTGTGTGTGTGTGTGTGTGTGTGTGTGTGTGTGTGTGTGTGTGTGTGTGTGTGTGTGTGAGAGAGAGAGAGAGAGAGACCTTGTGGATCTGTTTTTCATCTGGACCATTCAATGGTTCGGCCCATGCAACTCTTATATGTAAACCCTTGCCAAAAACATCTTTCCTTGAAAGCTTTTTGTATGCAATCTGTGCATCTTTATAAGTCTCCAGTTCAAGAAATGCAAATCCACGATTATAGCCTGGATTATTAGAGTCAGCCGGAAGGGTAACGACATCAATGTTCTCAACTCCAATTTTCTGTAGTAGTTTCATGATCTGCTTCAAAGAAAAACATGTAAGCAAGCAGCCAATTATTTAGGAGAGAATATCGAATCAAGCTGCTCACAAGAAAGAAATAGTAGCTACAAGTGCAGTTATGCTCACATCGTCTTTCTTCCATTTCTTATCAAGGTTCCCAAGAAAGATTTTATCATTCCCACCCAGAGCTGCAACTCGACACTGCTTTCCACAAATCTAGTAATTGGGTTTCAGAGAACAAGGTAACAATCAATATGGAGAAAGACAAGAGAAAGGGAAACATGGAGACAATCAAACATAAGACACTTTCAATTTGGCTAGCAGACACAACTGTGGTATCATGAAGTCCCAATGGCTTTTCATACAAGCAACAGTCACAAAATATGCTAATGCATAGATTCTAACAAAGCAAAAAATGTATGGCACACACAGAGTAAAACTCCCCATTAATGTCTACCTCTTTTGCATTGCATTTGCTACAGAAAGCAGACATTTGTGTACATCTTAACACATAGTGTACAATAAGATAATGCAAGGTATGTTAGACATGATTAACCTTTACCAGATCAATGGTGCTATCCCAAGGAAGGTTAGATTTGTAAAACAAATACAGAATGAACCAAGCACCTAATGTGGCCACAAGATTATGTAACTAACAAGTATCATCCATGGCAAGTGCAGTGATGAATTCATTAATGTTATGCACTTATAACTAGCACCGTGGAGCTTGCCCAAAACCCCGCAAGTGTGTCATGCAGTGGTATTTCAAACGAAATGTTCAGGTGGGCATCTTGTCCCCTTTTGATTGTTAAACAAAAATTAATGAATTTAGCCATGTGGGTCAAGCACAACCTTAACGTTGCTGAACTTTGCAATGGCCTTCCTTGCCTGCGCAGACTCACAGTAGCGCACAAAGCAGTAGCCTTTGTTCTTCTTCATCGTTGCATCCAAGATCATACGAACTTCCGTGATATCCCCCGCCACTGAAAGAGCTGCCCTCACGTCCTCCTCCTTTGTGTCCCTACTGAGCCCACCGACAAACACCTCCGTCATCATCCTCCTCTGCCGCTCCGACATTACCACCTCAGCCCTATCCTCACCCCTGCTCCCCAATTTCTTCACCTCATGCTCACCACCAATATCCGTTGCCGGCCCACTGGCTAGTGTTCCTCCCCGCACCGTCCCCTTACCCAATAGTGTTTCACACACAGCCGTCCCCTTACCCAGTAGTGTTTCACACACAGCAGTGCCCGGTTTTTCAATTGTGTTTCCCCCAAAACTCTGCTCCTTCTGCACCACTTCATCCACCGTGGCAGCATTTCGAGAGGAATTGTCCGGAGCGTGTCCCTTCCCAGGCTGTAACGCTCTAGTGGCAGCCAAAGCCGCCTCCGCCGCAGCCTTCCGGGCTGCGATCGTGCCTTTGGGGACCCTTCTTTTGATCGTCCGTACCTTTCGTGTGATCTTCCGCGGCTTTGTTGCAGCAGCCAGTTCCGTGGCCGCGTCGGTCGGAGGCGGTGTGGAGGGTTTCTTGTCCGCAGCGGAAGGAGGCGGCGGCGGCAGCGAGGAGGGTTTTTCCACGGGTGGAGGTGGTGGCGGCTGTGAGGAGGGTTTTCTCACGAGTGGCGGCGTTGGCGGCGAAGAGGGTTTTTCCGCGGGTGGCGGCAGCGAGGGTTTTTGGGCCAAAAACAGAGGCGACTCTGCGTCGTCCGCCTGGAGCGGTTGGGTGGGGGCTGGGACCGCGACCGCTACGGGGACGGGGACGGGTGGGGAAGGAGGGAAAGGGATGGTGGCCTTGGGCGGAGTCTACAGGACCTAGCGCTTCTTCGGAGGCACTAGCGCCAATGGCAGCGGCAGCTCCGACGGCCGAAGCGGCGGGGCAGCTCGGTTGCTCGGGGATGGAGGTGGTGGTGGCGGGGGCGTCGAGGAGGCGGGCGGCGGCGTGGGGCGGCAGAGTACATGAGTAGTAGTAGTAGTAGTAGTGGTAGTAAGTGGCTGCATGACAAAGAATCGCTCGCGAACTCACCAAACGGGCGGAGAAGTGAAGAACTGCCGTCCGTCCGGCCTGTGCCACCTCGCTCGAGGGGTTTGGGTGGAGTGGAAGCACCGCACGCGGCGACTTGAAGAGGACATGTTTCGGTGGGGTCCACCTCATGTTACTCCTGGAGTCCTGGTCCTTTTTCTCCTGGTCCTGGGTAGATGTAGGATTTGAAGGAAGTTCAATTTGATTTGTTTTGAAACGAATTCCGGGAAGCACAGCGACTATACTAGTACTGCTCCTTCCGTTTCAAATTATAAGTCGCTTTAACTTTTTTTGGTACATCTAATTTACTATGCATCAAGATATAATAATATGTCTAGATACCTAGCAAATGAATGAATAAAAAAAGTCAAAGTAACTTATAATTTAAAATAGAGTGAGTAGTATTTTTCTCTTCCCTTTACTTTACTTCAGTGATGACTCCTGAAACTACCACCCCTGTAGTGGAATTTAAAATTTTTTAATAGTTCATTTATACGGTAAAGCATTACTCCTTTGTGCAGTGCACAGCCTACTTCCATAGTTCCATAACACATCTTTATTTAGTTTTTTAAAAAATAACACATCTTTATTTAGGCCCCATTTGGTTTTTCTTGACTAAAGTCACCCTTATTTGGTTCTAGTGACTAAAGTCCATTAAAACAGTTCAATAAAGATCAAACTATCCCTAATAAATTCACGAATCAGGGTGGAGGACTGGCAATAATGAGGGGCAACCCTTGTCTACTGTGCATTTTAGTCCCTTTTAGCATCTCCTTGGTGTACTAATGTGACTAAACTATTTTAGTCCCTTTTTAGTCCGTTTGTTTGGCAATTTAGTACCTAAACTGACTAAAGTTTAGCAGGTTGAACAAAATAGGCCCTTAAGTTGTTGTCAGCAAGAGTTCTGAAGTCATTATTTTTTTTCCAGCTCCTCTATACGAGTTATTGGCTTATTTTGCCAATTTGCCTCCTATCTTCCAAAAGGTGATTGAAACGATCAAGATGCCCAAGAGAAGGTGAATTGGGCTAATTCTAAATTTTTTTACAATAATTAAACTCTACGGTTAGCCCTATTAACCTCTTGTGCCTAGAAAGTGTTTCTAATGTTCTACCGCACAAAAAGTCTTGCAACCTAAGTTCCAATCCTACTCTAGCATGACATTTCTATAAATGTAAAGACAAGTATTGAATTGCTCAAAGTAAATGCTCAAAGTAAAGAGAGAAGGAGGAACGAGGCGATGTTTTGCCGAGGTATCGGAGAGGCGCCACTCCCCACTAGTCCTCGTTGGAGCACCCGCGCAAGGGTGTAGCACCCCCTTGATCCACGCAAGGATCAAGTGCTCTCTACGGGTTGATTCTTTGACACTCCGTCGCGGTGAATCACCCACAACCGCTCACAACTTCAGTTGGGTCATCCACAAGCTCCGCCGGATGATCACCAAGCTCTCAATCACCACCAAGCCGTCTAAGTAATGGTGACCACCAAGAGTAACAAGCACGAACTCTCATTTGACCACGACAAGCCTAATGAGAAGGGTGGATGCACACTTTGCTACTCTTGCTTTCACTATTGACGTCTCACTCCTGGATTCTCAAACCTCAATCACCTCACTAGGACCTTGCTTTTCTTGGCACTTTCAAAGGTGTTTCTCAGCTGTTGGAATGTGCAAAAGTACCCCCTCACACGAATGGAGGAAGTATTTATAACCTGGGTTGAGAAATGAACCGTTATATGCCTCTGCGTGGTGATCGGACGCTCTGGTCATGTTGACCGGACGCTCTGGTCAGTTCACCCCGACTTCCAGTGTTTAAGTTGTGACCGGACGCTGGACAACATCCGGTCAGCACTGACCGGACGAGCACTGACCGGACGCGTCCGGTCACAATTTTCCTTCTCTGGAACCTTACTGATGTCGACCGAACACTGGACCCCCAGCGTCCGGTCACTTGCTGCTCAGCGTCCGGTCAGTAGCTGAAACCTGACCAGCGTCCGGTCAGCACTGACCGGACGCGTCCAATCAGGATTCTCCCTCTCTGGGACCTTACTGGAGTCAACCGGACATTGGGACCCAGCGTCCAGTCACTCACCTCTCAGCGTCCGGTCACTTCCAGATGACTTCACCTTGATCGAATGAACTAACCAGACTCTATGCCAGCGTCCGGTCACACCGAAGCTAGCGTCCGGTCAGCATTTGACCCTCCATTCACTTCCAACTCACGATCATATGTGAATGAAGTTTGCTCCAATTGATCTAAGGGCTTTTTAGGAGCTACCTAGTGCTAGATTTAACAAGTGTGCACCACACCTAACTCACTAGACTCACCTAGGTCAAGCTACCCATCCATACCCCCCTTAATAGTATGGCCAAAGGAAAAACAAAGTCCTAAACTAATCTAAGTGTCTCTTCAACTCCAAACGACACTTAGAACTAGTCCATCCTTAACCTTATCGTCCATCCTTTGAAAACCAAAATGATTTCCATCGTAGGAGCATGACAACCATAATTGCCCAATCAATTGCCATTACCGTGACCTAACTTAATTGCCTCTGCAAAACACACGTTAGCCACAGTAATCTTGTATTGTCATTAATCACCGAAACCCAACTAGGGGCCTAGATGCTTTCAATCTCCCCCTTTTTGGTGATTGATGACAATACCACCTCAAGTATGTGAAAGAGTTGAGGTTTTTAACATGCTTGGTTCATATAAGCTTTTGACAATAAGAACAAAAGAGTTAGGCAAGCTTATATAACCCAAGCCAACATAATGTACTCCAAAGATATGAAATAAGCATGAGTACAAGTAATAAAGCTCATTTGCATCGGAGTAAAGCGTGGAAGCAAAGCAAATGAGCATAACACAAGTGATATGACATATAAATAATTCAAAGTAGAGAGCACACATGTCACATATCATGATCACATAGATATCACTATCACATAAATATAGTTTGATGCATAAAAGTAAACACATGAATGCATAATAGTATATCACACATAAAACACCAAATGTAATAGATAAGCTAATAAGTAAACTCGCCCTAAGTATGTCGCTCCCCTAACACTAACATACTCGAACCCTCTCCCCCTTTGGCATCAAACACCAAAACCTAAGGGTCAGTCGGTGGGGCTACAGTGACCGAGTCATGCACTGAGGTACGAGGAGCGAGCTGGAACTGGGTGCCATCATCATCTGACCCTGAGCTCTGTGCTGTCTGACCCTCTATAGCTGGTAGTGACGTTGAAGCGGTATGGGTCAGAGCAGGGACTGGAGCTGCCTGTGACTCTGTAGGTATGACTGTAGCAGCCGGCTCTGATGATGCCACTGAGAAAGGGAGCGTCTCTGTAGTTGTAGTGATAGGCGCAACTGTAGATGGACCAGGGACATGCAAATATGGCAGAGTAGGCTGCCATGTCAACTCACTGAAGGTCGCTCCAAGACTCCTAGAGACTGAAGTATCTAGCGCTAGCAGCGAGGCCTGTGACGGTGTAAAGCCCATCTGAAGTGGTGTGAACTGCGGGGCTAGCACTGGCAAGGCAAACCACTGGGACACCTGCTCTGTAGGAGAAGAAAACTGTGCTGGTGGCTATCCCTAACTCTGAGGCCCACTAGGCTGTAATGCTGGAGTCATAGAAGTGGTGACAGGCTGGCCTATCTGGGGCGAAGGCTGTGGCGGTGGAGCCCTAATAGTTGTCACAATATGCTGCATAAACCCAAGTAGCTGCTACTGCATGAGGAGCTGCTGCTGATGCATGGCATACTACTGCTACTGTATAGCCTGCTGCTGCTGCTGTATCGCCTGCTGCTGTCGCTGGAACTCGTCCTGCCGAGTCTAAAACTGTGTAAAAGTAGCAGCTGTCTCCTGAGCCTGTCGAGCCTGATCCTACCTCGTCCACTCAAGTATGGTAAGTAGAGCAGGGTCTGTTTGTGGGGCAGGTGGAGCTTTACTGGAGCTACCGGCCTCATGATCATGATGGCGAGGAGGCATCTGAGGGATAGCCTGATAGTCGTCATCAGAACTATCACTGGGGTTGCTCTCGACCATCCCCTCCTGCTAAGCCTCTAACTGCTCCTCCTCTATAGCTGCAATGCCCCTGATAGTCTCATCCTGCTGGGCTGCAGTCTCTAGCACATCTGGACGACGGCGCGGCCGGCTAGGTGGCTTCACTGCACTGTGGCGGAGCATCTGAGTCATGTTGTATGCAGGAAACTCTGTCGTAGCACCACTGTACTCAGCTAGCATCTCTGGTGGCCTCACAGTAACTGTCCTATGAATAAGAAAAGTGATCCAGTGGGCATAGGGCAACTGTCAGTGACCTCTGAACCCCTCAGCAATTGTATCCTCCATCTCTGATAGAAGGAGATCCTAAATATCAAATACTGTCTGCTGCATCAGAGAGTTGAGAAGCCATAACTGTATGCAAGTCAAGCCCTCGCGATACCCCATCCTCAGAAGTAGTGTCCTCCTCATGATAGCCTCAAGCACTCTAGCAGTAGGAGTGAGGTCACTAGGGTTCTTGCTCGACCCCTAGCCAAAAGGCTCTGTGAAGCAATGACGAACCAAATCTGTAGGAGGCACCATACCGCCATGAGGGCGTTTGAGAGGCGCTGTCTGTCCATAGCAAACCTCATGTAGCCGGATGGGCTGCTCCTAAAGCCTGAGAATCTCCCTGACCCTAGTACTCATCAGCCTGTAATCTCTACCTCTAAATGCAAAGTGTATAAATCTGTGGTGCGGGTCAATCCAAAGTGTAGCATAGAACTCATGGACCCAAGATGGAACATATAGGCCAGTCCATCTGAGTAAATCTGTCAGCCTTGGCAAATAAGATAGGTAAGGGCGAATATGCTCTCCAGCTGCTGCTACAATGGACTCAATGTTGCACACCCTCTGAGATCTGAATACAGCTCCACTATTAAGATATGCATTATAGAAATCCTCCTGCAGTGGTGTGTAGAAGCCCTCTGATGCTCTGTCATCCCTCCTGGGTGGGAACCACTGCTCAAACTCCACAAATCTGAGCTACTAAACCTGCTTGGCCGTGGCGGCCCTCAGATCTAGATGAGTCACTGGAGGCAGACCCTGTGATCTAGGTTGTGGATGAGAACCCCTCCGCTGTGTCTCTGGCC